TAGGATCTTATTGAACAACGTCCTGATAAAGCCCGGCTCGTCTTCATTAGGTGCGTATATATTTATGAGGGACACTTCTGTGCCATCAATTAATCCATTAACTAAAATATATCTCCCCTCCGTGTCTTTATGAATTAGTGTTTGTGTGAAATTAATTTTTCAATTCAATTCAATTCATTTTTGTATAGCCCAAAATCACAAATTACAAATTAGCCTCAGAGGGCTTTACAATATGTACACATTTGACATCCTCTTGTCCCAGGACCCTCACATCGGAACAGGAAAAACTCCCCCAAAAAACCCCTGTAACGGGGAGAAAAAGAGGAAGAAACCTTAGGGAGAGCAACAGAGGAGGGATCCCTCTCCCGGGATGGACAGAAGTGCAATAGATGTCATGTGTAGAACAGGATAGTGAATTACAGCACATTCAATGTATGACAGAACCACGGCAGGAGGCAAGACCTGGTCCAGGTATAACCCGGATACCAGTGGCGGGCCGTGCATTTTATACCTGGGCCTTCACTGCTGTCCTGCAGCTGAAACACCACCTTATAACCACATTATGGCACCACAGCTATTATTCATTTTTAAGGCTGTAACTATGTACGTCTTCATATTAAACCGTTCGGTACGAGTCATTTGAATAGTGCCAGAGCATTTGGAAAATGCAAAAGCCTAAATTCATGAAAATATAATGTTCTCAGCTGGTCTGGCTGCGGGATCCACCGTCATTCCTTAATGACAAGCTGCGACCCAAAGAGATTATCATAGGATTTTACTTTCACAACTTGAACGTTGAATGTACTGCTCTGCAATGTCTTTCCTCTTCTCAGTCTCCTGTGTCATGGTGCATCTCACTCAGTCAGAATGCATTTTGATTGGCTGAGCTGCATCACGTGATGTGATTCACTACCCATCAGCCTCTGCTGGCTGTTAAGTTTCGTTTCACGATAGTCACGTGATCGCCCACTGACCAATCACAGCACACTCTGCACCTCGAGGCAAAGCTACACATGGACACTGAGCGGCATGTAATGCTGACGTCATTATATGCCGGCTAGCAGGTGCTGACACGTCAAAGAATACACCCAACATGTCAAACTAAAGATCTGATTGGTTGAACACTATGACAATCAACAATATTGTTGGCATTCACTTTAATCTGCACTGGCTGCAGGTGAGACTCTGCAGGCCTCTGCCTGTCTTCTTACCTAGAGACACAGAGGTGAAATCTGATTGGATAAAAGCTCTACTTAAAACAAGCTGCACTGGAAGCAGAGCAACTGAGGAAGACAGTAATGAGAAAATAAGCTAATGGGACAAATAATTAGAATACATGTAGTGTATTTATGAAAAATAATTAAATTATAAAATAGATATAGCTTTGTGATTATGTTTAGGCCAGCAGAGAAGGCCTTGCCGGCCCTGACGGCCCACCACTGCCGGATACACAGGAACCTGTGAGGCGAGAAAGCACAGAGACTGGTGAAGAAGCAGGTCAATAATGTGCATTAATGGTATCAGTAATATGAAATAGTAATGTGAGTAATAATAAAAGTGATATTAGCAGTTGGAGTCAGCAGGGCCATGGTAGGAGGAAGGACCAGGGTCCAGATGAAACCATGCTCCATGGAAACCTGTGAGGAGAGAAAGCACAAGGACTCCGCGGAAGAGACAAAATCAGTACTGTGCATTAATGGTATCGGTAATAGGATTAATAATGTTAATAATGAAGATCGTAGTAGGTGTCAGCAGGGCCATGGCTGGTGGAAGGACCAGTGTCCAGATAGAACTGCGGTCATGGGAACCTGTGAGGCGAGAAAGCACAAATAATCCGGGGAAGAAGTAAAGTTAGTAATGAGCATTAATGGGACATCAGTGCATACAGACAGAGGTGAAGAAGAGGAGGAGAGCGGTGCTCAGTGTATCCTAAGGAAGTCCCCCTGTAGTTTTTGCCTATACCAGTTTGGGGCCGGTCCAGGCAAACCAGAGCCAGCCCTAACTATAAGCACTATCAAAGAGGAAAGTCTTAAGCCTACTCTTAAATGTGGTGAGTGTGTCTGCCCCCCGGACTGAAACGGGAAGCTGGTTCCACAAAAGATGAGCTTGATAACTGAAGGCTCTGGCTCCCATCCTACTTTTTAAGACTCTAGGAACCACAAGTAACCCTGAATTAATGGAGCGCAGCTCTCTAGTAGGGTAGTATGGTACTATAAGCTCTTTAAGATATGATGGTGCCTGACCAGTTCGGGCTTTGTAGGTAAGTAAAAGGATTTTAAATTCTATTCTAGATTTTACAGGGAGCCAGTGCAGAGAAGCTAATACAGGAGTAATATGATCTCTTTTCTTAGTTCTTGTTAGTACACGAGCTGCAGCATTCTGGATCAACTGGAGAGATTTAAGAGACTTATTAGAGCAGCCTGAAAATAAGGAATTGCAGTAATCTAGTCTAGAGGTAACAAATGCATGAACTAATTTCTCTGCATTGCTTTGAGAGAGGATGTGCCTGATTTTTGAAATATTACGTAGGTGAAAAAAGGCAGTCCTAGAAATTAGTTTTATCTGAGAGTTAAAAGACAAATCCTGATCAAAGGTAACTCCAAGATTCTTTATGGTGCTGTTGGATGCCAGCACAATGCCATCTAGAGAAACTATATCATCAGATAACTGATGTCGGAGGTGTTCTGGGCCTAGTAGAATAACTTCAGGTTTGTCTGAGTTTAACATCAGGAAGTTGCAGGTCATCCAGGTTTTTATGTCCTTAAGACATGCTTGCAGTTTAGCAAGCTGATTGGTTTCATCTGGTTTGATCGATATATATAATTGAGTATCATCTGCATAACAATGAAAGTTTATAGTGTTTTCTGATAATATTGCCTAAAGGAAGCATATATAAGTTGAACAAGATTGGTCCAAGCACAGAACCTTGTGGAACTCCATAATTGACGTTGGTCTTCATCGAGGCTTCATCGTTTACATACAAACTGAGATCGATCCGATAAATAGGATCCAAACCAGTTCAGTGCGGTTCCTTTGATGCCAATATAATGTTCAAGTCTGTGCAACAGGATGTAGTGGTCTATCGTGTCGAACGCAGCACCAAGGTCTAACAGGACAGGAACAGAGACTAGTCCTTTGTCTGATGCGATTAGAAGGTCATTAGTTATTTTTACCAGAGCTGTCTCTGTGCTATGATGCTTTCTAAATCCTGACTAAAAATCCTCAAATAAACTATTGTTACGTAGAAAGTCACACAACTGATTTGCAACTGCTTTCTCAAGAATCTTAGGGTAGGAAGGGAAGGTTAGATATCGGTCTGTAGTTGGCCAACACCTCTGGATAGAGAGTGGGCTTCTTAAGAAGAGGTTTAATTACAGCTACTTTGAAGGACTGTGGTACATGGCCTGTTAATAAAGACAGGTTGATCATATCTAATAAAGTCGTGCTAATTAATGGTAGCACTTCTTTAAGCAGCCTAGTCGGTATAGGGTCTAAGAGACAGGTAGAAGGTTTAGACGTAGAAATTGTTGAAGTCAGTTTGTCAAGGTCGATGGGAGTAAAGCCATCTAAACATATATCAGGGTTTACAGCTGTTTCTATGGTTACTCTATTTGTGGAAAGATCGGTACTAGTCGAGGGTAGGAGATTATTAATGTTCCCTCTAATAATTATAATCTTATCATTAAAGAAGTTCATGAAGTCATTGCTACTGAGGTCTATAGGGATACTCGGCACAACAGAGCTGTGACTCTGTCAGCCTGGCTACAGTGCTGAAGAGAAACCTGGGGTTCCTATTTTTCTCTATTAACATTGAGTAGTAAGCTGCTCTGGCATTACGGAGGGCCTTCTGATACGTTTTAAGACTGTCTCGCCAGACTAACTGAGATTCTTCCAAGTTAGTGGAACGCCATGTTCTTACAAGTTTTCGCAATGTTTGCTTTAATTTGCGGGTTTCACGGTTATACCAAAGAGCGAACCTCCTTTGTTTTACTAACTTCTTTTTTAAAGGAGCAATAGAGTCTAGTGTCCTTCTCAGTGAGCTTGTAGCACTATCGACACGATGATCAATCTGGGTAGGACTAAAGTTAGCACAGGAGTCCTCTGTTATATTGAAGCATGGTGAGCTACGGCACCATCAGATAGACATCTAGTGTAGTAACTCTTGCTTACCGGTGTACACTCCGTTAGTAGGAATTCAAAGGTTATTAGATAACGGTCCGATAAAAGAGGGTTCTGTGGAAAGACTATTAAATCTTCTATGTTAATGCCATAAGTCAGAACCAGGTCGAGAGTGTGGTTAAAACAGTGAGTGGGTTTCTGTACATTCTGACAGAAACCAATCTAATCTAATAATAAGATAAATGCAGTACTGAGGCTATTGTTCTCGACATCCACATGAATATTAAAGTCACCTACAATAATTACTTTATCTGTTTTAAGGACTAGACTTGATAAAAACTGAGAAAATTCTGATAAAAATTCAGAATACGGACCTGGGGCCCGGTACACTATAACACATATAACTGGCTGTATTGTTTTCCAGGTTGGGTGTGAAAGACTAAGAACCAAGCTTTCAAATGAGTTATAGTTTAGGGTTTAATAATAGGCTTGAGTCAAAGATGGCTGCTATTCCACCTCCTCGGCAGGTGCCTCGAGGAATGTGAGTATTGATATGACTTGGAGGAGTTGATTCATTTAGGCTGACATATTCTTCATTACACAGCCAGGTTTCAGTAAGACAAAATAAATCAATATGATTATCTGATATTAGCTCATTAACTAGTACAGCTTTAGATGACAAAGATCTGATATTTAAGAGTCCACATTTAATTATCCTATTTTGTTGCACTGTTGCGGTAGTTTTAACTTGGATTAGGTTATTTTCTTTAACTCCTTGATCGTTTATTATTTATTTAATTAATTTAAGTGGCCGTGGGGCAGACACAGTCTCTATGTGGTTTTGGGTGAGTAACTAACTAATGGAAGCTCAGAGGAGTGTGTAAGAATGCAACTCTGCTTCCTGGTCTGAACTCTGGTTTGTCATGGACCAGGTCCATACAGAAACTGGGTCAGATTTGCAGAAATGAGATCTGCTCCATCCAAAGTGGGATGAATGCCGTCCCTCCTAAGCAAACCAGGTTTTCCCCAGAAAGTGTCCCAGTTGTCTACGAAGCCCACATTGTTTGCTGACAGCCAGCGGTGGAACGATGACATGCGGCTAAACATTTCATCATTGGTCAGATTCGGGAGGGGGCCAGAGAAAACTACGGAGTCCGACATGGCTTTTGCGTATGTACACACAGATTCCACATTAACTTTAGTGATCTCAGAGAGCCGTAGCCGGCTGTCATTCCCGCCGACGTGAATAACAATCTTACTGTATTTACGGTTATCTTTAGCCAGTACTTTCAGATAGGACTCAATGTCGCCTGCTCTGGCCCCGGGTATACATGTAACTGTAGCCTCTGGTTTCACTAGCTTCACGTTTCTCAGAATAGAGCTGCCTATGACCAGAGTCGGTCTCTCAGCTGAGAAATCAACTCTGCTGGGTGCAGAAGACCCGTTTGTAACGCGAAGTGGCTGCAGGCGAGCCGAGTGCTTCGCCCCAGGTTTAAGCCTCCCGTGAGCAGTCACCCGGCCCCCCGGCTGCTCGGGGGCTGCAGGGAGACGGCTAGCGGGAGCCACGTCTGTTTGGGCCGCACCGGCTACGCCCGCAGTCACCAGCGTCTTAGCTTCCATGGTGCGGAGCCGTACTTCTATCTCGCTAAGCCTTGCATCTAACTGTTGAGTTACCTCCGTCTGCGCCAACGAGTAGGGGTGAAGGGTAGAGGAAGCCCGGGAGGGAGTATTCTCCGTCAGGACTGCGAAGTGGTTGGAGGTGGTTAACGGAAACTCCCCAGCTGGTTTTCTCAGGAGGCCGCGGCGTACCACCTCCGTCCAGGATGCCGGTTTCGGAGTGGAGCTATGGGTCGGGTCTATAGCAGGTCCTCTCAGCTCGTGGTCGGAGGACCGCCTACACTCCCCGTCCGCAGGGCCTGGTAGCCAGGGAACAGTGTCCGCAGTGTCCGAGACCAGCTGAGATTGCATAGATGAGATATGCTTTGCCTGGGCCACCGCTACGGATACGAATCCGTCGATCAGCTGTTCCCTTTTCCGGACTTCAGACTGGCCGACTGGACTGGACTCGGCCATGTTGGAAGTCCCTGCTTCCGGTTTATCTGAAATGAGAGGGAAAAGGTGATGGGTCTGCTCAGAAGTTCTCACAAAAACAAACAAACAAATGTATGTAGCAGAAGTCGGTAGGCGAGTGAAAGGCGTAAAGGTGTGTGTGATCCGATGGCCTCCACGCTGTCTCAGCTGCAGTTCACACCACACTACAGGCTGGTGATGTGCTGCTCTGTCGCTGCTGCTCTGTGCTCTGTCGCTGCTGCTCTGTGCTCTGTCGCTGCTGCTCTGTGCTCTGTCGCTGCTGCTCTGTGCTCTGTCGCTGCTGCTCTGTGTATGAGTATGGATACTCCCTTTTTTCTCCCTGACCGGTGTGAAGAGTAATATACTTTATCTGCCCAAGACCTTTTCAACTTTTCATGTTCCGTGTCAGATAAGTGGGTTTCCTGAAGGAATGCAATGTGACAGTTGGCCTGTTTCATCTGATGCAGAATTTTCTTTCTCTTAACAGGGCTATGGAGACCTTTGACATTATAACTTATAACTTTTAGTGGGTCCATTAAGTACGGTATGTAATTTGCATATTTTGGGAGTTTGTGTAGAGAGATGGGAAGCGGAAGTAAACAGGCAGCACATGGGTCATGTATCTTGTTATGTGGAGTGTGGAGAGTTGGACTAGATAATGAAACCAATGGGGGTGGGGTAAAAAATTGTATTTAAGAAAAATGGATGATGACCTTGTTGTTCTTATATCCAATGTAGGATCCCCGGAGAACAGTGGGATCAGAACAAGGGGAACGCAACAGTTGTAACTGCTGTTAACTAACATTAACAACAGTCCGGTGAGACCTAGTCCCTAGCCACTAAGGGCAAGTAGCAAAAGTGCACAGTCGAGATTGAATTGACTATACTATGGGTGTGCTAAGATAAGGAATAGAGAAAGAAAGAAGAAAAAGTAAAGAAAAGTAGACACAGAAAAGGACGGTGTCGAGTAATGGCCATTCAGGCCCCTGCAGTTCCTGGCATAGGTCTGTAAAGTCAAAACAGCTCCTCATGGTAAAATAGTGTTTGAGTTGCACGCAGAGCTAAAGGTGTGTCAGTAGTCTCCTCTTAAGGTCGCTGCCAGTGAGCAAGTATAGCGGAATGATACAAGCAATATGAATAGAAATATCGGGCACAGTATAGGCTATAACGGTTGGTGTCCTGGTAATGGAGATGGGTATATTAAAAATATTAGCTATGAGACACATTTTTCCTTTTCCCTTCTCAGGTGTGATTCGAGTAATATAAAAAAATAATATTATTTAAATATAAAATAAAGTAGGAAATAATGATGTGCCAATATGTGAAATTGCAAAACTCACTGGTCAGTCCTTACTGTGATCAACAGTACTGGTAGGGATACATTTAGTCAGCAGCCTCAGTAGCTGGGATAACCTTCTTCTGGACATACTCCATGGCTTTGCTGGGATCCAGAAACTCTTCGTCTTCGTTGTTGTGTGAAATCCGGAGTCTGGCTGGGTACAGTAGACCGTAGCGGACTCCCTTCCTTCCTCGTAGGGCCTTCCGTATGTCCATGAACGTGGCTCTGGCTTTGGCAACACTGGGTGTGTAGTCTGGGAAGATAGCGATCCGGTTCCCGTTGTAGACCAGTGGTGCTCTGTCTCGGGCTCTCCTTAGGATCTCTACAGCATCTCCGTCATTGTGCACTTCAGCGATGATCACTCGTGGTTTCTCCCGGTCTCCTGGTGGCGAATGTGCGGTGCAATCGGTCGATCTTTATGTCCCGGTCCATCTGCAGGACTTCTTTAATA